ATAATCTCTGAAAGAAACTAAATTTTATTGCGGAAAAAGAAGACAATTATTTGCTAGATAAATTTCAGACTATCGTGAATCGGAAGAGATCGTCAGTAGATGAGGAATGAAACAAGTCAGACAGACCTGTAATAAAACGTCATTTTCCTCAGAGTGAATAACTATAATTTCACGCAAAATTGAATTTTTAATTGCGCAGATCCCGTAAGACGATGATCAGCTGGCGCCAGTCAGAAAACGAAGAATAAAATCCGCGGTGATGCGCAGATCTCTTCTCAACTCTCGCGCTCGGTTGTCTTTCTCCCGCACGCACGGAAACGTTCGTTTCTGTAACCGTACAGCATGTGTGCTCATACTTGAATCATAGCTCTGATTGAAGAATCGTCTCGATAATTCATTAATAATAACTTGGATTTTAACTATAAAGTAAAAGAACTCGTAAAGTCCGAGAATCATTTTATATAAACTGTTAATAAAACATCTAATAAGACTCGAGTGCTCTTTTTAAAAATTTCTTTTTATTATACTTATTTTCCTTTATTCTATAATACAAGCTGTTGGAAATGAAGATTACAATCAGGATATAGCACGAACATATCAACTAAAATGTCGCGTAACAGGATGTCTGAGCCAAGTTTGTGAGCTCGTTATTCATTTTCTTGTTCCTCGTAAATACCAGTGTTCAGGCTAATGGATCGGCAAATTCAATCGAATATTTGATCGATCCGTTTCGACATTGACCTTAAGCGGCGTGCCTCGGTCAAGCGCATCTCTAGCGTAAAAAAATACGACGGATCGCCGATGAGAATGCATGCGCATAAGAATGTTATGTAACCCCGTTGCGATTCTATAGAAATTAAGGAAGGATAAGCGTGATCAGTGTATTCTTCAGTCTTGGCAATTGTTGCCTTCGCAGAAGCTTCATTAAGGATATGTAATCGCCTTCATGCAATGCAAAGTAACCGACTCAATGAAAAATGTAATAACAGTGTATATACATATAACATAGGCAATGGTCCATTGAATTCATTAAAGATTATCAAATAATTACTGTTCTATCCACTATTCTCGATACGTAGGAGGAACTGAGAAAAAGATGTAATGGTTTGAAATATTACTTGATTGAAATAAATCAGCAACTTGAATAGTAGTAAATTAATAATTAACTTGAATCAATGATCCTGAAATATTTGAAGCAAACTAACGAATACTTTGACTAATTGTAAGCAAATATTGAGTTGTAGAAAGATGATAGATAGATATATAGATAATTTTACTTCCTTGCTCTTCGGCTTTGGAAAGGTGTCTACATAACTACAGATCTGTCTTATTACAATATTTTTTATATATGTAGGGCCCTTCAATAGATCAATTTAATTTATTTAATAAATAGAACGTAGAATTTAAAATTTAAAAAAAGGAAAATATTTCTTCCTAAGTATACTACAAGCAATTATAGGATGCATACATATTTAAGGAGGGAGAACAGTGAAGAAAGCAGAAAACAATTGTTTCCAACAAGAAAGAAATCAACAGGGGAAACACGGAGGACTCAGCGAGAAAACCTCGATACGGAGCAAGTTCGTACGAGATTCTTCAACGTGCAAGTTCAAGGTTCCGCAGGGCGATACAGATACTCGCAAGGTCATCAGGTGTGCAAATACCGTGATTATAGCCGCGTACAGGTGCAGCTGCTTTCTCATTGTCGGAGATGGGACAGGGACTGACGCAAATAAATGGTATCAAAATTTTATTCGATAAATTTTTCACTGAATAACAACCGATCTTTCACGAAGCACCGCGTAGTCGAGCTTGTTTCCCCTCAGTAAGAAATCTCTGTCAGGTGGCCGGTAATCCTTTGGTTTGCGACCGGTGTTGCTTAATGGAAATGACGGAATTAATCATCGACCAGTGTATTACTCACTCGACCCCGAAATATTCAGTACCAGAGGAAGAGAGAGAGTCAGGCGATAAAATCCTTCCATTCATAAGCCGTGATTTTAGCATGATAGATCGTGGATACCGGTTTCAATCGATCGATCGTTCGATCGATCGCTTTTTTATCTCTTCGATTTTTACGCAAGCAACAGTAACATGTAATAAAAGAAGGAAACACATTAACCCTTGAATTATGAATTCAAATACCGGTTGCGTAAGAATCTGAACGCGCACGTTGATTTTTTAAGTACAATACTTTATGATGAAGTGTTAGAATAACTTATGGAAATGATTCATACGTTCTTATTCGATTGGCATTTTCCCCATATTAGAATCTCTATTAGTCACTCTTTTTCTTGTATTTTAATATGCAATTCATATCGAAAGAGTGGAACAATTGTTTCGAGGTCATGGCCGGGTTGCACACAGCGGCACAAAATGCACCTACGCGGTTATCGATTGTCTTCGATATGTCCGCGGTGGCAACGCGTGTGCGAATACTTCGCGATAAACCATAATGTCCGATGACACCGATAAGCACGGCGGAAGATATCGATCGGTGAGAGAGTTAACCGCGTGTAATTATGCGGTCTATTCGTTTCGCGGGTTCCGGTACCATCGCGTATCACTTTGCAAGCATTCGAGACTATCCTGGCCATTTATAAGTGTCTTTCGTTGGGAACCGAATTCCACGTTTCGTTCCTCTCGGAGAAGACAAAGGTTAATTGCGACCCAGTGAAACCTAGCTATACTGATGGCAAATCGAAGTTCAGGCTAGCAGTTGGTCTTCATTGTCGGTAATTTGTAAAGTCACGTCAGTCCAATTACTAGGCTAAGTTCCAGAAGCGGAACCGTCTATCGTTTTAATTCTATTTTAAGCTTTCCACGATTCCGTATTCGCGAATCGGAATCGTATACGAAATTAGAATTAGGGAATATTCGATACCAATTGTCTTAACGAACTTGCTTCCGTGACTTCAAATGACGTCAGATGCAACCCCTTTGAAACTACGTCTGTACCGAAACAGCCAACGTACTTGATTTCAATAAACTATGAAATAAGGTCATAGAGCAACGAAGCACCCCTTACGTTCTAAAAGTATTTTCACAATTCCGATGTACTTTAAAGTAAATTTATCGCAATACATATTTCGTTTATTGAGACTTGGAATCGTCATCACTCTTGGACCACCCTTAGTCCGTCATTTAAGCATTTTGACGACGAGCTGCTGAGAGTAACGAAAGGGTGCGTGGATACAATTCCTCGCATACACCTGAGCCCCTGAACACGAACTCGATTCGAGTCAGGTGGGAGGTTGGAAGGTGGAGTTACGGGCGACGAGGGCCTTTGGTAGGGGTCCCTGGCATCGTTGCGTACCCAGGTAACATTGGACCCCCACTTGCGAGTTCCAAAGCCGCATATACGACGGCCCGACACCCGACAACGACAACGACGCCGACCGGCAACCATCACCCGTCCTACCGCTTGCAGTTGTTGCAGTCAGCCACGGCGCTCACCGTAGAGCACGCGACTGTATTCAAGCTCCGCAGGTGATTCCCGGCTCCGATACGCATACGGATCGGCCGATTTTCCCGTTTCGCGCGCGTTACAACAGTGAGTCACAGGTGCCACGAAGCAGACCGGATGGGTGAACAATTGGATTTCTCTCTTTCTCCTGTGCCGCTTGCACTCGCGCACGTAGCGCACAGTCGTTTGTCACCAGATCGGAATTAGGAAGAGGAGATCGGCATCGATAGATGAGAACTGTTCACCCAAGTGAAGGTACTCTTCGAACGAGGGAAAGTGACAGTGAGTAGATCCTGTGAATTCAGTGTGCCATCGAGGATTCCTTTCAGTGCCGAGAGCAACAGGAGAAATGTGCAACGATCCTGACGAATTTGAACCGCCGATCGAGAGTTCAAGTGTCGTCACTTCCCGTGAAACCCGAACAGTACCGAGGGAAAGCGGTATCACTATATACGCACGTTTTTATTCAACTTTGGATACATCCCTCCAACTTCTCGTCTTCTTATTCGACGCGTAGGACGAGATCCTCGTGTAACAGCGCGCGGGACGAATCTTCGCGCTACCATTTTTTCATTCGAGAAAGCAATGTTCCGCTTGAACGCTAATCGCTTACTTTTGCAACTCGTTTCACTCAGATTTGGATTTCGATACTATCGGTGAATCATCCAACCGATTCCGTTACTCGGCTTCGCGAAGAGTTCAAGGAAATGCGGGCACGTTCATCGGTTTTTGAAATCGTTGCTTTTAACCCGATTATTTCGCGATCTCGTACACCCCATTATATGGTAATCGCAGTGACACGTACTCGACGCAATGTTACTTCATGCTCGAGTAACTTTGAAATATTGGTAGCATAATCGACCGGGACACGCAGTCGCGCGTAATTTTACTCATTCAATAAAACGTGTAATCACCGTGAACACGGATTGCCGACTTTTAATCTGGTAATTCTCCAAAGTACAATTTGATAGCAAAACGATTGCAACGAGATACCGATCATAGTCTAATTTTTTTTTTTATGTCAAGGGTCAAGTAAAAGGTGATCTGTAATATCTCGTGTGAACCGTAGACTGGATATTGTAAGGATATTTGATTTTGTAACACGATAGTCTGGATATTGTGAGCAGGTATCTCGGAACGCTCTGTTCGTTCACCTCGTGCTTGACCTGGCTTAGATCGTCGATCGTAGACGTTCATTGATCGATACGCAGACGCTCTTTTTTATTCCTGCCTCGTCGAGCTCGTGAGTCAACGTTGTTCGATATCTAAAATGCCGCGAGCCACGTTCACGGATCATTCTAGCTTTGAAACGAGGTCGAGTTTCATGCGCTCCAACTGCAACGAATTTTCCAACACTTCTAGAACCGTTCTATACTCTCACTTCATGTAGATTTAATGCAGGAATTCTTATCTGGGATGATAATTAATAAATATTATTCAGAGGAATCTTCTTGCAACAGTAAGCATGAGATTTTTAATAATCGTCACGCGCAATATTTTAAGCAACTGCGCGGCCAGTGAGTCATCAATGGAACGTTGAGTTTCTCTCGATTGAATTGAAAATTTTTCCGGTAATAATTTGTTGAGCAGGAAAAAATTTTTTATTCCTGACTCACGATTCTTATAAAAGATCGTCATAGGTGCCGGACGTTCCCATTCACGAATCGGAACGATAAATCACGTTTATCTTGAGCCCAGCTGGAGCCTCGCTCGCGCGAATCAACGTCACGTTGCAATAACGGAACTACGTCATAAATTAACGAGCCAGTCTCGGCGGTCAGGTAGCCCGATAAAAATTTCCTGGCCACCTTCGCGTCACACCGGTTTCTCCCGTGCTCTCGGCACCGTTCCCTTCTATCCACACGATCCGAGAAGGTCAAGTACTTTTCGCATACCGTCCCTTCCGGTTACCGATCCATATCGATCCTTCATCCGCGTTTCATCGAGAGTCAGTCGGTCCTAGTTTAACAGAAATCTTCGTTCTTCAGTTTAGAGTGAAGAAGCAGATATCGTTAAAGTTACGCTAAAAAAAATTTCTCAAATCACGAGAATTAAAAGGAACTACCACAAGACAGCGCAAACGCGAAGTTCGAAGAATCGTAGAAAGTTTGTAACATCTAATTGTAAGAAGAAAAAAAGAAGTGCAGAGTGATAGCCGAAGACGTTGTTACGTTGGAAGAGGGAAACGTTTACGTGGTCGTAAAAAGGTGACACGGAGGGGGTCTTACATGCGTCATCGTCGTGCGGGTACAAATCGCACGCGACCATACGCTCCGAAGACAGTACACGTGCGTAACGACGCGCTCGGTCGATCCTGCGAGGTACCGGGTCTCGATTCTCTTCCAAGGACGCGCGGTGATAAATGCGGTACCGGAGATGACGACCTCCGTGTTCCCCAAAATGTCCGTCCGGCTCCTCGTGCTGTGGTTTATCGCGTGCAATGGTGAGTACATTACCTTTTTTTCGTGCCATCCTCGAGATAACAATAACCAAGATATGATAAAAAGATGATATTAAATATAAAACGATGAATTGTGAAGATGAAAGTATTAGTGTTAAATAATATGTGTTACACTGAAATAGAGATAAATGGGTTTGGCAAAGTGTTGAATTTTAAAACGCAGTTGAATTACTTGTTAAACATGTAGAACATGTGACTAGGGAAGTCTATTAACATTCATTGACAATCGTTCTACCTACACATGTAGATATTCATAAATAATGCGCGCTCTAATTTTTGTAGTGATAAATTTGCAAACAGATCGAGCAACGCAAATGTTTATATAAGATTAAATAGTCTTGCGAGTAAATCGACGCATGGTTCACGAATGAATTAAAAATACATCAATTTGAAAAAAAAGAACAAGTAAATATGCGCTGAGAAATTATTGACATTAATAAATCAATGGCTTAACGATCGGTTCTCAAGAAGAATCGGTTTTAGTGCATAGATGGTGATTGATATATATTATGAATCACAAAACCCAGTGTTATAATATCAGCCAGCTAATAGAGGAATTAATATGCTGGCAGTCATCATATTTACAACTTTGAAGGCCTTAAACTCGTCAAGGGCCACGTAGTCTTTAAACGCCATGACAGAGGTTGCATCCTAAATGACTACCGCGAGGGCATTGGTTCTTGCTGTCACTGACACGTAATGTTCCACTATCACTTCGATTATCGATCTTCGTTATGTCTTTTTTCTCTACTACGTTCTCTAAAAGTTGCTTCTATGCTTTACACAAAACTCTGGAACCAGTCAGTCAAGGATAATCGTGTGCATTTACCAAATGCAGCCAAAAATCACCGTTTTTTCTGGGCTATTTTCGAGATCAAAGTAAAGTTTTCTTTGGGTTATTGCTGATTATCATAAGAATGCATGCAAATTTTAAATCACTATGATTTTTCAAAAAACCCATTGATTTAAAATTTTATAGGTAGCTTTTTAATAGTAATAGGAATCTATAATAACAAATTCAACATGCTAGCATCGTTTAAGTGAACTCTCACGCGATACACGTAACACGACTGACCGAAATTCCTTTCTCATCAAAAGTCAGAGCTTATCGAAATCGCGTGTAAACGGTCTCTTAAGCAGCACCTTGACAATGAAACCAGCTCCCAAGGTGATTCTCTTGCCGCGTTTCGAGATCTCCATTTCTCTTTCCAGACTCGCGACGCTCGTTTCCATTAAAAACATGGCACGGCACGCGGCGGCCGTGCCTGACCATGCAAAAATCTGTGTTAGCGGGCTTGATTCACTTTCGTTTGATAACAACGGTGCCGCGTGTCCCATTTAGATAACAAACAATGAGTAATTCACGCTTGTAACAGAGCGGAGGCGACATCATGGCAATTTCGAACGTGCATAATCAGAGCGAGGCGCGAATCATCGCGGCGAATGGAATATACAAGTCTCGTACTGGTTATATTACGTTTCGTTTATAAGTGAGTTGAAATTAGAAGTGTGATCATGGTGAAAGGAATGAGTCTCGATAAAATGATCTTCCATTTTAAGTTTCTCCATGAGAAAAACCTAAGATTTTCTTTTAAAAATTGTGCAATTTACATAAAAATGATCACAGTTGATGGCAAATTCAGAGCAATTTTTATTGTCAACAACAATTCAATATTAATTTAAATATATGAATACGTTAACACCAATATTGGAGGATAGTTACAATACATGTAATGCTACTAAATACACGAGAAGAATATTTTATTACTTCTCTGGCCCATTTTGTTCAACATACGTCAAAGTTGACCCTGTTCCCAAGTTGTGGGTCCTGCTCTAGTTTAGGAACATGAAGCAATTTGTAGGGTAGTTTGGAAGCTTTCAATAGCGAATTATTCGTACAAAAAGTATGTGAGACATCATTGTTTATTACACAATGTCCAGCTTTTGCATAGGATAGGTGACTAAGAAAATTCTATATACATTTTAAAAATGCCTGACTGGTTTACAATAGAAGTATTTCAAAGTTTTTCTTTAATATCAAGATACCGTAAAAACGTTTGCATCTCGTGCACAATCCGTTGTTAAGAACGATGCAACGATCGAGCGAACTTCAGACGATCTTGGACCATGTACCGAAGGAAGAAATTCTGTTCGTTTACTCTCGTCGAAAATAGACTACGCCAGCATCGCTGCACCCGATCGTTGAGAAGCTAAGCAAAAAAGACAGGCAGCTTCTCCTTTATCGCGTTTTAACGTGTAACAGTATCGCGTGCAGTCATCAAGTACAAAAACCAGATAGACATTATCAAGAAGCAAAAAAGGAGGAACATCAATTCCTTTGAGGAAAAAAATGATACTTGAATTGCCCACTGGGATAGTATTAAGCAACAACAAAACAGTTTTGCATGTAGAAACGTTAATTATCGTCCGGTAATGCGGATCGTGAGACGACGATACCATCGGTACGCGTGTAGTTTTAGGCGATGAATTTTTTGTCGATCATTTTTCGACGCCTCTACGACGTAAAGCATTCGTGGCATACCTGGAGGAGCGGCGTACTCACGGCCCGAAAGAACTGGTTCTTCTGCGGAGGGTGGTTAAACCCGATGCAATGCGTGCATTTAGTGAAACATCGCTCTGGAATGCAAACACGTGAAGAAGGGTAGGAACCTGCATGGGAACTATCGTACGATCTTGCGTTACAGGAGCCATGCCTGCCTGAATTTTATGCGTTCCATGGACACGTTTATTTTGCTCGTTCGCTTCAAATTTTACGTAACGCTCATCCATCTGAAATTATTAGATTGATGCAAGTGAAACATCGTTTTGTATTTCTTTTTTTTAATATTTCAGTTGAAAATCATCGATCATGTTTTTCTCATTGTTAATGGGAAGAATAATTTATCTTTCAGCAATAGTTATGTAAGGAAATTGGAATTTTATTAGAAGATATAAAACAATTATTGAGCAATGTGATAATTGAAGTATTACCTGATTCTTTACAGTCCATTTATCTTTGAAATTGTTAAATACGATCATTATAAAAGACAACATGAACAAATTGGATAGTCGGCAGACAAATTACTTGAAACAACATAATGAAACTATAAATGCAGCATTCACAATCTATTAGACAATAATTATTCGGGATGATTATACAGAAGTAAATAATACATTATTTACACGAAATATATAGTATTGTACTTGGAACTGCATCTATCGTGTTCGAAGAAAGCATTCATACAACCTAATACATTTCTTCCTTTCGCATCTAATTCGTCAGTAATTTATTAAACATGTTTTACTTGATTGATAGTTTTCAATCAACAAAACAAAATCAAAACAACAAATATACATCAATTATTATGATTTTAAAATAAATAAAATAAAATGATCCCTTAACTTTAGAAAAGCTTCTTTACTTAGAATTAATATACTTAAACTCACAAGCCCATAAAAATACATAAAAGGCAGTAGTTCTTCATATTTCCTAGAAGTATATTTAATTATAATGTTAGTATAACAGAGGCGTTTGTAATGAGTTACATATATAAGTGGATTAAAGTAATACAATCACCGAGAGTCTCGATTTAACCGGTCTGCCTCGACGTTGATTAAGTCGGTTAATCGAGAACTGTAGAATACAATGAAACCCTAGAGAATTCGAACTGAGAAATATTCGCATTTCTGTGACCAATTAATTAGCCAATGCGAATAATCGCAGTTCTTATGAAAAGAAAGAATTTCTTGTTATATTAGTGACTCTCAAGATACTTTCTCCGCCAGTCCTGTTAGGACCGATTTGAGGACACGCTCGTCACCTTTCCGGGAAGACTGACCATGGCAATCATTCCCTCGAACAGTATTTCTTCCTGATCGTATATTAACAAATTCCATTGAGGAAATATCATGAAATATGTTCGAAGAACCTCTTCAAAAATGTAATTCATGATCAAGTATATTTTATTAACTATGATTCGATTCAATAACGAGTTTTGTTTTCGAAAAATGAAATAATCATAAGCATTTTCATTTCACTATCATTATCGAAATTTGCAATTATTTGATACAAATCATTTCTGTACGATTCTTTCATTAACAGCATCCCCACGAACACTATAAGTACGTCTTGTTACACGTCTGGCTGTATTTACTATTGTATTTCCAAGTTTCAAATAAAATCAGCTTCGTGCCCTTTATATATGCCATCATTCAGACGAAAATCAATTTATCAATTATATTACTGAAAAAACCACTTGAACTTTTTCCGATACCTAATTTCTCCCGATGTAAGCAATGAAAAACATAAAAAGACAGGATACGGAAAGAATTTCAAGATGTATTCAAATTTTTTTATACGAATATTATGCTAAACTTGCGAAGTTAATATACTACTTAACAGTCTTTGCTTCAATTGTATTTCACTAATTACGAACGCGGTCTCTCCTTTCGATTCCGATGATTTATACAGCTGGCGAACAGTTACGACCGTGAATGATTCCGCTCGGTAACGAGCGAAATCGAGCCGAGCGCGATGTAATATTTGCGAGCCGCAAATGTGACATAAATCGATACGTGTACGGAAAGTAAGAGACCTGGAACAAAATAAATGAGTCGATCCTTGAATGTTTCTTGTGAGGAGTATCAGTGGCCGATTACATGTCAAATGGGTCACAAAATGTGCTTACTATTTAAAATTAGTATCTAAAGAAATGTTCCTTGTTAAAAAGCCAGCATGATTTGTACTGGAGTTTTTCTATTATATTTGATGATTTATGAGTAATAAAATACATTTTCAGTAAGACGTATTACTTATACACTCTTATACATAATATATTGGCGTTTTTATAATGCCATGAAATTGGAGTTCTTAAAAGAAACAGTTTCTTAAAATTTTGTTTCGAGTTGTGCGTTATACATATATGGTTTGTAAGATAAGTGGGTAGATGAAACTTTATTAAGCAAACATATAATACCAGCCAGAAAAAATTTCGTGAGAATACATGTTTTCTGAGAACAGACGTTCCTTAAATAGTTCGTACAGGTCCAAGTATCTAGAAATAGAATGCCCTACTTTCCAAAATGCACCTCCTCAATTATCCTCGCCAATCGTCATTCGTTTTTTCAATCAGCTTGTTTGATATCGAATGCAACGAGATTTTTAACGTTATCTACGATGAGAAGCTCGCAGATGGGTAACGCCCAAGCATTTTGAGTTTCACAACGCGTCTCTACGTGGGAAAAGAAATCGACTAGTCTTTCTAATTGTCCTGCTACGGGAGACATCGACGTGGCACCGGGTTAACGACCGTTGTTGCTCGCCTATCGGCTGGTTCTTAATTACAGAATGAAATCCTCCCCGAGGTGATCAAATCCTCGTTTTTTTTATTTCTTTCTCCGGCCTCTTCTCGGCTCGAAGAACGATTGGCCTTGCCTTACGGCCGGAATGGGATTCCATTGTTGTGGAATTAGTCACAGGGAGACTCGCGGGGATACATCCGGGATGTTGCCGGACTAGCTCGAATACTCGGAATGCCGATGTTTCAATCGCGGTCTATCACCTGCGGCGAGTTGACCGTCAAACCACTGATCGACCCAATGTGTCTATAAATGTTTGGTATTTCTATGAAAATAGGTAGCCAAGTGAGAAGTATGTAATTTAAATATCGGGACAATGTCGAGGATTTTATGATGACTAATGCGGTTAACGTTAATCCGGCACAAGGCACAGAGATGATAAAAAATTATATAGTGAAAGATTAACGACGCGATGAAGAAAGTAAGAAAGTGCGATGAAAGTAAACAGGCGGCCTTGAATTGACTGAATGAGCCTAATTCAAATGCTGCACGATGGTGATCAATACTCTTTTACTTTTTGTCTCCAGTTTTTCAACTCTAAATTCATCTCATATCAAGGATGCCTACTTTCGATGAACATAAATAACTTTTTCGAATATAGTATAATAGTAGTATGATTGAAGCGGACAATGTTAAGTCTACTAGTATTATGTTACATTAAGTAGCAACACCTGTATAGTACCAACTTGTGCAATGATTCTCACGATTTGCTACAAACTATGAAGGATAGTTATGTCAGAGTGTCAGCAATAAAAATTTAAACTACGTAAAGCGGTGTTAACCACCGCGAAAGAGACGTGGAATAAGGAAGCCATAGCTTAATTGACTATTGTGTGAAAATTACAGTTACGTTCAGGGAGAAAGTTTTCTATAAAAGTTTGCAACACTTGACTCGTTATTACTTTTCCACCTTTTTAGAAATTCTAACATAAATTTCAATACTTGTGTCGATAATATTTTCAGAGGAATCTTATTTATTTAAATTATTTATAAAACAAATCTTCCGCAAAATTCTGCATAAAATAACCATTGCAAATCGCACACATGATACAATTGTCTATTTGAATACTCGTCGCTTATATTAGAAGATGCAACGCGATTTTGCGACAATTCTGAAACAACGACGACTAGGAATTCCAACATTTATGCTCGAATGAAATGAAATTATTTGCCTGCTATCAATATGTCGGTACAACACGTATCGTCGTAAAACCGCGATCCGATGAGTATGTCAATGTAAAATGGGAAACGACCTTCCTGTGTCAGCGACCACCTTTTGCTCGTCTTGAGGACGAACTCGGCGCATGGTGAACGTAACGAGACAATACCAAGGACCAAGTTTGGTACGAACGCGTGTCACATACCGCGGCACCGCGTAGAAAGTGTGGAACGATGAACACGGCCGCTCTTTCATTCAGAGAAATTTGACCGTGATCATCCGACAGAAAACGGCCGACTTTTAATACAATCAATTATACTGTTTCCGAACAATATTTCTTTCATTTTCGTCGTCTAGTTCGTTTTAATAACTACGAGATTCCCTTCTCAGAGAAACGTAGAAAGCAAGAATAAATGTACGAGACCATCGACGACGTTCTAGAACGCATCTTCGACATTCCGACCACGTATCGTTTTACAACACTAATTCCTGGTGGTTCCCCTTTTTACAAATATTTTATTATCGATCCGTCCCTGATTCTATTTGCACATGGTGACAGACGCGCGACGCAAGGCGATTGTCTACGTGACTGTCGTAGCTTCCTGCCCGATGTGTCCTACATATATGTTCGACTGATTGTGAGCACCTTCGGATCATGTTGTGGTTTATCATGACACCTAGAGCCTGCTTGACTTCCTGCTGCTTCTTCGAAAATCGTAGAAGTTTGCTAGGATCAAACAACCGTCAACTGAGACTAAACACTACAGTACAATTGACTAAACAGATTGTCTGATAACTTAGTTTATTTAAGAAAAATACATAAATGATATAACGAAAGATGTCGATTTTTTTGAAACTTAAAATAATGGCTAAAAACTCGGCATTTGTCAGATTAAGAAGAAATTCTTATCTATGAATTCCTCTATTCAATGGAATCTCGAAAATCTTTTTTATGCGAGGCCAGCTGACAATTTGAGAGGACGTGATCGCATTATAGATATCTATGGTGGTATTTAAAATACTTGTGGAATTTCGAACACGTTTGGCAATCGAACGGTCCACTGTAATGTGTAACTTTCCTTTTCTATAATCTTACAAAACATGTTTAGGACGCTACGTATCATCCAGCTAAACATAGCCGGGAAATTCCGAATTTAATTGAACGCTATTTCGAATTCTCAGGCGTACCCGTGCCGGAAGAGTCTGATGGGGCCAGCACCACGGTTTTTTCCGTGGATTCCGAAATCGAAGGTCACCCGATGGACGATATTTTGCCAGGAACGAAACCATCGCCACCAAGTCCGGTGACATTCGTGGATGTTCCGGAACACATAGAAACGGAACTCGGGTCCTCTGTGCTCCTCGCATGCAGAACTGCTAATCCTGTAGCTGAGTGCCAATGGTCCTGGCAGTCCTTGCCGCCTGTTCACCTGCCGCTTCCGGATAACAGTGATAGCTCTATTACCAGTTAGTTATCAATATTTTTTTTACGCTCGTGATTAAAATAAATCTTGAATTCGTTTGAATCATAGACTAATATTAAATGTTATGTTTGTTTCGATTATCGTGACCGCAGTCTTTACGATGAGTCAAGACATTATTACGGATGACTTGTTGTCCATGGTACTTCTGCGCTGCGTACTTATCGCAGTTTACTCGTAATTTATAGCCACCACGGTCTCGGTGATTCAGACGACAACTACGCCGACTACCAATCCATTGCCTGTACGACAATTTCCTGCCTTCGGGAACAATAGCAACGACTGTTCCGTAAGATTCTCGAGTACGAAACATGAGCAGACCGGATACTGGACCTGCGCCGCGAGAGCTTCCACGAATGATCCTTTCACTAGCTCAGAACCCGCTAAACTGAGCATCGTCAATGACCAACATGGTACGGAATGTTGATTGCCCCTTTTGTCCTTTATAATTCAACGTGAGATAACATCTAATTTCGTTGACCGAAGATTCGATGAGTTCGAAATTGAGACAAATCAAGAGAATTAAATAAATTAACAGCATTCGTTTTAAAATATGCAGGCCCAGCTATCGTGTTCGCGAAGCTCGACAACGTGGTCGAGATACCGGCAGGATCTTCAGCGCAAATAATGTGCCAGATGAAGTCACCCGTCCGTGAGTGTCAATGGTCCTGGCGGCAATTAAACCAATCGCAACCGTGGAATCTCGAAGTGAAGCGATTCCCAGCTTTTGGCAACGACAGCACCGATTGCAGTATTAAGTTCAAGAATGTGCTACCGGAGCAGGAAGGATACTGGACCTGCGGCGCCAGAATCGACCCAAATTCTTCTTTCACACAATCAAATCCCATTCGATTTCTTATTTCAGAAGGTAAGACAGGAATTAATTTTACTTCAGTGGCAACTATTCTTTGAAATTCTTATGTCGATGTGCGATTATTTCGTAGTTGAATTCGTGCAACTATCTAAAGGAGTCCAAGTAGCATCCGGCGAGTCGGTTCTCCTCAGGTGTTTGGTGAACAAACCGGTAGTTCAATGCGAATGGTCCTGGAGGGCCTCGAACTCGAGTCAAGAGCCTGTACTGTTCAAGAAATTCAATCCGAATAAGGACGCTGACCATGATTGTTCAATGAGGTTCAAGAACATCCTGTATGAGGAGGAAGGCCTCTGGACGTGCGGCGTTCGACTGTCTCCGGATGGAATGCTACACGAAGCGCCCCCCGCGACTGTTAGCCTTCTACCTACAGGTACAAACATCAAAACTTTCACAAGATACAAAAGATTGAAATTTTTTTTTTTCTTCTTATATCTCCTAACTTTTAGAAATACGTTTATCCATTAGAATTGTGCGTTCGATCGATCCTGTTTCAGCCAAAGTTAACTTCGTTGAAATGCCGATGGACACTTCAGTGCCGATTGGTACGGAGACCACGTTGAAGTGCGTAACTAGTAGCCGCGTGGAGAAGTGTACGTGGTCCTGGAAACCGCAAGAGACCGAGTCGGAGATGATCTTTCAGGAATTTCCAAGTAACGGCGACCTTGGAAGAGATTGTTCGCTCATGTTGCCGCATGTGGACGCCGAGAAACAGGGCCAGTGGACCTGTCAGGTGTCGATCAGCTCCCTGAATACTGTGCTCACCTCGCCGCCTATCAAGCTCACCACATTCGAGCAAGGTACATTTTCTTAAAACATTCACGATAGATCTAATATTAATTCTTATTTCATTAAATATTATTTATTTCTTTATTTATTTCAGACGAAGTCAAGTTCTCGGAGTTGTCGAAAGATATCCAAATATCAGCTGGCGGAAGCGTGTTCCTTCATTGCGTGACCTCCTCGGCCGTGGAACAGTGTCGATGGTCCTTGACGCCGGTAAACTCGAATACGACGGTGGTGGTGAAGCAATTTCCGGCGGCCGGAAGCGAGGCCAGGGACTGCAGCGTCAGGCTGACGCACGCGCTCGCGGAACAGGAAGGCCTGTGGACCTGCGGCGCCAGGATACGCGGCAGGGAAAATTATACAGATGCGCCACCGGCGAAACTGAGCCTTCTGGAACCAGGTATCATAGAATCTTGAGACAAATCTGCGACGTTCCTATCCTTTCACGGGTGTAGAGAAAAAATCATCGGTTCGCTCGATCCATGGATCTGTGGTTGACACGATCGCCTCGGATGTTTGCAACAATCTCGAGGCGTAGCTGTCGATCGGCCATAGATCCTGAGGAAGGACACGCGTATAGCTTAAGCTTAAGCGTATATTGTGTATGCATACATAGTAGCAGCGTATAGGATGATGGAACTCATAAAGGTATTAAGTGTACTGAAGTGCAAATAGCGTGCAAAGCAACTTTTCATCGCGACAGGCTTGTAATTTACTCGTCGAACCTTTAAGAAGGCACACTTAAAGGCTGAGTACGCAAATCGAATTTATTGTCGCACTGAGGAATATAATTACACGTTTAATCGTGATCATCGAATCATGAAAATAATTATTGTGTTGGTCATAAATTGATATATATCCTCGAATTATTTTACCACATTAGATAAATGTTGTGCAATGGTAATTTGAGATTATAATTTTGCTCACACGTAAATATCTTTCACTTTATTCCTCCTCCTTTCATAAAGCATCCGGATATTCTTATGTTAAGTTGTTACTCATCCTATGCGATGTATACATGATGTATCGTGAAATAAACAATTAGTATTTGCGATCAGTATCGTTTGGAAGCCGACACTGCATAAATAGCCATCGGTGGTATAAACAGTGATTAACTTCCGAGGTGTCAAGCAAAATCGATCGTGACGTACAGTTGAAGGCCGCGAATACGCGATTAACGCGATTAAAGGAATTCCTGATTGTGTGAAAATCGATTGCGTAGAGTAGATGATCGCATTTAAGTTCCCCGAAGACTGTTGAAAGCATCTGGGTGAAGGCATCGTCGTGGTGATGGAATCTGCATGACGTTTCATATCGATGTCTATCTCTTTATGCGACTTGAGAAACAATAATAAGCGTTAACCGCGTTTATCAAATGTCAAAGAGATAGACATGCAAAGAGGTATTTTTCAATTTTTTTTAAATAAATTTTCTCGTTCACGGCTTGTTTTCGCGTAAAGAATCGATCGTTGCGTTTGAAAACAGAAACAAGATTCCTTATTGTTTAGTGTATTGTTATTGTATGTCTGTTTGCCATTCATCGCATTTGCATCAACTAGCATTAGATATAGTCTTAATTTATTTCGTTTGATCATATCAGTTATTGTTTCCTTTCGCAATGCCTTCCTAGTATATCCTCAGAGAGACTTATTGGATCGTTGCCCCGCGGGACTAGTCGGCGCTACGCAAGTAACAAGTGATTAATAATACCGTCCGTTTTTATTGAAAGACGCATGTATCATTAAAAAACGCATTGAATAATCGTTCTTGCTATGATCGTTCATCGGGCAATTATTATTCATTCTCGCGATTAACTTTTCTTTATCTCATTCGTCGAGCATTATATCTGTATGCTTGCTAAACTCTGTTTCCAGTAAGTAATATATTTTTTCTCTCTTGCGGTAATGACACGCTTAAGGAGCGCATCTCTTGTTAAGTAATGTCTATCACTCAATGTCATTCACCCTTCCTTATTTATATGCTCAACGGCAAGTCTACGCTCAAACGATTTCACATTTAGCATAGTTAGTGGCCGCGTTAGTAGTTAGGTACGTGAAATCGTGTTGTACGTGTGTACTTAAGCCTTGTCGCGAGCACTCCGTTCGCATTTATTGTTAATTGTTATTCCCCGTATTATTTATTGCCGAAAACAGCCGCTGACAGGGAAAGTATTCTCCACCGAACTTCACTATTGTGTAAAAAATTAGTTAAACGACAAGCGTTCCAGGTTTAATTTCTTTCGAAGCGATGTTAATTTTCTTTGATGACGTCTTGACGAACAGCAGAAGAATTGTTACAACTATTCTGTTATAGGCAACGAGGAAAAAAGCGTTGGTATTCGTTTTCGTGCGCGATAACTATATAAACAGATTAGTTAATAATTATTTAAAAGAAAGACTACGCGTAGGAAGTTTATCGGTTAAGACTAAGAATATTTATTATTTGTTAAACGAAATAGGTCTTTTAAGAGATTTCAATGTGCTAATAACGATCAAACTCGTCATACGTATGTTAACGAATCGATTAGTTCTGTGGCGAACGTACTGCTAAACGAAAAGTCAACGCACCCGATGACACTCTGAAACAAGTTCTTTTTTTATTGGAATACTACGATACGCACTTATTATATACTCATTATATTCACCTATATGTTAAAATTAACGCTAAGTAGACAATTCTTACTGTTAAGCATCTCGTTTGAGATGAATACCTTCGTATCGAACGATGCGGCTTATCGTCGTTGCCGTCGCTGCAAAATAATCATAGTTACGTTCGAATCACTGTGGTTTTCTAAAATGACATCTGTAAATAATATTTTGATTTTGAAGAGGAACTATGATTGCGACGTTGTCATTTAAAGGGAACTCGATTGATTCGCACGATGACTCGCGCCGCATGCAATAATCAAACGTAGATCGCTTTCGTTCGAAGCTAATTAATACCTTCGTGTGCCATTGAGCTACTGTTAAGTTTCTAAAGCGAACAATTCCGAGAATCTGCAGGATAATGTGATCGGCGGATCGTACGCAGTTGCGCGTCATTGTAAACGTAAGCGATTTCTTCAAATAAATGATAATGCGGAAACATCATTGCTGCCTCCTCACTCCCATTGCCTTTGATACTAACAGACGCGATCGGCCATTTGAATTTAAGATGATGTTTGCGAATGGGCCATCGTCAGTAACGCACTGTTCATTATGTGTACACAAGTGATACGATTTTTTTATCGCATTTTAAAAAAGAATATATTACATGTGAAAATTGCTTCACGCACTTCGAGCACCCAATGCACACATTGATCAGTGTTCTCGTTTCTGGAAGGATCTGCACTACAGAAGAAGAGGCACCAACGCTTTCGGTGATTGGGATATAAAGAGAAAACCGAAGGAAGATATCGGTGATTAAATAGTAGAATTTGATGATTTCTAGACCCAGTCATTGTGGCAGTATGGGCTTCGCCCCATCAAATGGTCACACTATCATGCAAAGTAGAGACTGTAGTATCAAAAGTGCAGTGTCACTGGATCCATGCACCGAAGATCCATATTTATCAAAATATGACTAGAACGAAAAGGTGAGTCTTCTTTTTTCACGTAAACTTTGTACAACTAAACTTTACTTCCAGACCTTTTGTTGGTTTCGTTAGGCACAATTTACAGATGGATTACAGTACAGGGATATGTTCTTTGGAATTTAAACCCGATCATTCGGATCTAGGACCATGGATGTGTAAATTCACAGTTCCTGGTGATCACGCGGAAGTAGAGCTGGGAAGCGCGTCCGTAGTTCTATTGAATACTGTAGCTGGTATATATTATGTTAAATATTATTACTATTTTAAATATAAAAAAGTGAGTTAATTAATTATTTTGTATTAATGTAAGAAAATTTAATTTCTAGATGAGAAGTTGGGATGGATAGTGGGTGCTCTAACGGCCTTGATTTTGTTTCTGATGATTATTATAGTCGTTTTAGTAGTATGTAAAACACGTTTCTTCGTAAAAAAATCATCGCGTATTTTAGAAACAATTCCTTCGGAGAAGAAAAACACTTTAAAATTAAGTAACGAGCGGTATACTAGAAATCCATCGAAATTGGATTTACAAAATCCTGAACAAGACAATCAGAATGTGGCAAGTATTGATAGCGTTCTTCCCCACAGAAGCCCACATTTATACGACCGCGTCGGTAAAAACCGAAAGTCATCCAAAGATTATGAAAACATTCGAGTATAACTTTTAAGCTTAAATCTATATAACACGATTAAAAATAATTACTGTAATAAAATAAACTTCAAAAAACATGCATTTTTCAATTTCTTCTTCGTTTTTATAGATAAGTAAGGAAAGTAACAAATTAACGAAAACAATAAAGAAAGGAAGGAAAATATATTCGACATAATACAAAATATGTTTACAATTATAGTAATGTATATATTAAATATTTTTGGAATAAATTATATTAATTCTTTAAATATTATTTAAGAGAATCTAACTGTGATTGCATCTTCTCTAAATTCTGGTACAAATCTATAAGCTCTTTCTTATCAAATTCAACTGTTAATTTAGACTCTTCTTCACCTGTCAAATTCAGTTGTAATAATGCCATTGGACGTACATCTTTTTTAACAGTGGAGGATGCGGCTTGAATATTTAAGCACCAGTCAATATCTTTTACCTGTAATGAAACAAAATGAAAGGAAAGCTGTTTGTAGATTTTATATAGTTAGAAATATTAATTGTACCTGAATTGGGAATATAGACATTTGTCTAAAATTATCAATTATGCCTTTCCCATATGTAATCCAAGCATTTAAAAATGTTTGAACCTTATCATCATTGACTTTAAAAGTATCTTTCAAAGTGCTTTCCATCAACTGAGGTTTTATAATGTTACAAGCAGCTTGCTTATAAATCGACGTTACTGCATCTAGTAAACATATTAGATCATCCTTATTTAAGTCCAAAGAAACTAACAATTTCTCTTCTTCTTCCTCACTAAATATTCTCGTATTAACAGTAGATTGAAGCGTTTGGCAAATACGATTTATTAATAAACGAAATTTACTGTTGTCTACTTGATTTGCTATTTTCAGACCCAGCTGAATTCTGAAACAATTAATGCTTCATTAGATGAAACAAATGAACTGTACAAAAATTCGAAAATTTGTCATGAATTCAAATACCTTTTAAATAGATAACATTAATTGTAAAACAGTAAGTAGATAACATTGATTTTTAAAGAAACAAAAAATTTAAATATTACCGCGGTGTGATTGTAATCCAGGAAGCCATGAGCACATTTGTAGGTTACTGATTAATTTTATTAGAATCAATTAGTAAACATTACATATTTCAATTCATTCGCTGCAGCTACTTTTGAACACAACTACTGACAACTACACTATTATAAAATAGTCACATAAATCATATTTTTTAATTAACACCAGTGTTGGGCACGGGCACCCCGTGGGATATTTTATAACTAAGCGACTAAAAATCACTCATAGATATGCAACAAGCAGTTGAGAAATAAGATTGAGAACTGAGTTCGCCTGATGCCACATTATACTCCTGACAATTACAGTTTTGAAAAATTATTATTTTATTATGATTTTTTTTGTAAAATATCATGATATGCTCTAAGGCTCAAACAGAGCTGTTTTCCCCTTCTGCTTTAGGAAACTCTACCCCTGGACTATGTACGGTCCTTCAGGTCCATGGATGTGCCCATCATCCCCATCGCCCCATCACTGGTTTATAGTTTTATAGTTTATACACCGTACTTCAGGTCTTCAGGTCCGTGCGGTCCGTGTGTCCGTGTCCGTGTAGGTAGACATCGAAGCCAAGAAGCCAAGTGGTTAGCGGCAAATCGTATTGTAGTGTAACATTAATCTATTAATTGTAATAAGTTACCCTTCATTTCATTGATATAAAAACCAAGAAATCAAAATGGTAAGTAAAAATACAATAACTGTAGATCTTTTAGAAGTCGGCTTTTTATAACCTAAAAATTTTAATGTTAGCATTACAAATGTTAGAAGCATAAGAAATTTGTTAATACTATTTTTAATGTTACATTTTGATAATTCTATAAAATTTAAATAAAATCTATGTATGTTTCAGACAATCGGTAAAAATAATAAGATGCTACAGCATATTAATTACAGAGTCAGAATTATTTTACAAGACTCTAGGACATTCATAGGCACATTTAAGGCCTTTGATAAACACATGAACCTCATACTTGGTGATTGTGAAGAGTTTCGTAAAATTAAACCAAAGAATACAAAGCAGCCAGAAAGAGAGGACAAACGTGTCTTAGGCTTTGTATTATTAAGAGGAGAAAATATTGTTTCGTTAACTGTAGAAGGTCCCCCACCACCTGAAGAAGGATTACCTAGAGTACCTATACCTGGTGCAGCACCTGGTCCTGGTATGGGTCGGGCTGCAGGTCGTGGTATGCCTGCTAATGTCGCTGGAGTACCAGCTGGCCTGCAAGGGCCAGTTAGAGGTGTTGGCGGCCCATCGCAGCAAATTATGACACCAGGAGGTAGAGGTCAAGTCTCTGCGCCACCACAAATGCATCCAGGTGGTCCACCTCGTATGCCAGTCGGAGGTCCTCCACCTGGGATGATGGGACCACCACCTGGCATGATGGGTAACATTTTGTATAATTTTAATTATACGCGTCCCGCGACTTACACAGAGTATCTGTCTCACGTGGATTTATTTTACGCGAATGGAAAGCTAGTACATAAGAGTATTAGTGTAAATTAGTCAAATAGTGTAAAAAAATAATGTATACTGTCTACATCTATTACTTTTAAAACCTATAGGAAAATATATTTCCTGACCGCGTGAACAACAGACTCACGTGAATTAAAGGAGGGATATATTTATTTCACCGTAGTATTGATATGAGAAGAAGAAAATATATTCGTTTATTTATATTTTACAGGAATGCCACCAGGTATGCCTCCTATGGGACGTGGTGGTCCACCAATGGGACCACCAGGAATGAGAGGTCCACCTCCAGGTATGATGCGTGGTGGACCACCCCCTCGTCCATACTAAGAATTTTTAATAAACTACAATTATGTAAACACTAATAACAATAAAAGTAATTTTTATAATGTTATTCTTTTTAATTCATATTAAAACATAGGTGAACTACAAGTAATTACACAAGCATAAAAAAGATTTAGATCTTCATGAAGAAAAATAAGTTGTACTTATGATTACAGATAATTAAAGTATGAATTAATTTTTTTCACACGTGTTTTGAAAGAATATTGCTATAATTATGATATTTTGTACTTTATTTTAAATAAACTATTAATTTACATTATACCATCTCATAATACAAATAAAGTAGATTATATATGTAAGGCTTATTTTAGTGCAAATTAATTTTAAAGCTCAAGACTAAGTCGCTTTCTAAACGTAGTATGAAAGTAGGACTATAAATAATTGAGTCTAATGAAGTAAATTTTCTCATCTTTATTTTTGTCTTCTATTTCCTCCGCCTGCCAGCAGTGTGAGAATCCTTACAAAGATATTCACTACATCCATATAAACAGAGATCGCGCTGAAATAAGAAGTTAAAAATACATAAATTTTTATGTTAGAATTTTCCGAGAATTTTAGCTCAAATCACTTACTTGTTAATTGGATCATATGGTCTCACCATATGTTCGTGGACTGGGTATGTTTCAGCTTGTTTGATAATTCTTTGTGTATCATACAAAAGTAACATGGAAAACAATATCAGACCACCATACAGAGACATAGAGTACAATCCAGACCCAAGAGCTGTTGTAGGTGGCAGAAACATTGATCCCACACTGCTTGCAAATACGACTCCTAAACCAATTGCTAGTGGGCCACCCATTTTCAAAAACGTTTCATTTGGTGCACAAACAGCAACTATAGATAAACCGCCAACTATACTGGCAGTATACCACGCAGCTCTAAGTACCAAAGGTCCTCCAAGTAAGTACAAAGGTGCAAGAATTGCACCAACAGTACCAGTATGGGCCAACCATGCTAACTGTTTTGCACCAAATCCTTCTTTGTATGGAATACTCTGCAACATTATACCGCTACCCCAAACAGCTGCAATCGTTACCAACATGGAAACCCATCCTTGACGCATCACCATATTCATAATGACTGGTGAACGTAAACATATTGCTGCCGCTGCTGTACTGCTCAGTATAGATGCGCCAAGATACATGTACGTGGTTCTAATTCTCTCCTTCACATGTTGAGGCCAATATCTAACTCAAAAAAATATATGTGGTTTAAAATAATCCATACTTACATAATTAGAATCTCATATTGAATGAGAACATACTTCACATAATCTATGGTACCCATAGATGGTGAGAAACCCAACCCATAATAGTACACAAGCATAAAAAAGATTTAGATCTTCATGAAGAAAAATAAGTTGTACTTATGATTACAGATAATTAAAGTATGAATTAATTTTTTTCACACGTGTTTTGAAAGAATATTGCTATAATTATGATATTTTGTACTTTATTTTAAATAAACTATTAATTTACATTATACCATCTCATAATACAAATAAAGTAGATTATATATGTAAGGCTTATTTTAGTGCAAATTAATTTTAAAGCTCAAGACTAAGTCGCTTTCTAAACGTAGTATGAAAGTAGGACTATAAATAATTGAGTCTAATGAAGTAAATTTTCTCATCTTTATTTTTGTCTTCTATTTCCTCCGCCTGCCAGCAGTGTGAGAATCCTTACAAAGATATTCACTACATCCATATAAACAGAGATCGCGCTGAAATAAGAAGTTAAAAATACATAAATTTTTATGTTAGAATTTTCCGAGAATTTTAGCTCAAATCACTTACTTGTTAATTGGATCATATGGTCTCACCATATGTTCGTGGACTGGGTATGTTTCAGCTTGTTTGATAATTCTTTGTGTATCATACAAAAGTAACATGGAAAACAATATCAGACCACCATACAGAGACATAGAGTACAATCCAGACCCAAGAGCTGTTGTAGGTGGCAGAAACATTGATCCCACACTGCTTGCAAATACGACTCCTAAACCAATTGCTAGTGGGCCACCCATTTTCAAAAACGTTTCATTTGGTGCACAAACAGCAACTATAGATAAACCGCCAACTATACTGGCAGTATACCACGCAGCTCTAAGTACCAAAGGTCCTCCAAGTAAGTACAAAGGTGCAAGAATTGCACCAACAGTACCAGTATGGGCCAACCATGCTAACTGTTTTGCACCAAATCCTTCTTTGTATGGAATACTCTGCAACATTATACCGCTACCCCAAACAGCTGCAATCGTTACCAACATGGAAACCCATCCTTGACGCATCACCATATTCATAATGACTGGTGAACGTAAACATATTGCTGCCGCTGCTGTACTGCTCAGTATAGATGCGCCAAGATACATGTACGTGGTTCTAATTCTCTCCTTCACATGTTGAGGCCAATATCTAACTCAAAAAAATATATGTGGTTTAAAATAATCCATACTTACATAATTAGAATCTCATATTGAATGAGAACATACTTCACATAATCTATGGTACCCATAGATGGTGAGAAACCCAACCCATAATAGCAGAGGGACCCTAATCCTATTACAGCACCACCAGCGAGAGCTCCTTTTCCAAGAGAGAATGCTAGGAATATACAAATAATGCTTTAAATGATTTTAACAAAATAAATTTTACTAAAAAATATGTCTTAATATATTCACATGTTGAATATAGGCGATATATACAAGAAAATATGTGAAATCATGAAAAAGTAATCCTACAATGAGGACAATGAATTCAAGCTCTGCCTTGAATGTCTTCAAGCAATTTTTATATTATGAATTATATAGAAGTATTCTGAGCGTTTTTAAATGATTTCTATGCTATTTCTAATAGTTTATAATAACAAATAAAATATTTATGTCAGTTTGAGTTAACCTATAAGTTCTACAGTGGTGCAATGATTGCATCATGTTGTGTGTTTTTCATATTGTGATTTTCTTTACAAATTGCATTTATCTATCGAAAATTTACCAGTTTCTCCTGCGGGAGCCGCTGCTTGTTCCGAGATAGTGGCTGATCTACGAGCTGATCTGGCAAATGTGTGCCGTCCATCATTAGCGAATAATCTAGAAGACTGGATTCTTGGAATAAATGATTTCGAAGTAGCCGGAGATTTCAACAAACTGATCAAATTCGGTGAAACACCACTTCGACACACTCTAGCGAGCATCATTTTTGCATGTTATTATCTAAAAAAACCATATGTATATTAATAAAACAAACACTGACGAGATTGATAACCATAAAAAGTTACACACGATTTTCAGTAATTAAATATCTAGAATCTGAAGACTAATCTTCACATCTAGAACATCCGATTCGAAAATCCAGATTAAATATTTCGTTCGCAAAAATTTTTTGTGATTACTCACAGACGCAATACGCTGCAATTGTTCTTCTCGACAAATCGATACACTGAACTGAATACTGTTCTCTTAGCAGTAGCACTTAGTACTTAGCATTAGCACTGTCACTACTGTCAGTCGGAGTCGGAGGTGGATAATTATCGAGTATCGATAGTCGCTACCATCATCATCGATACTATCGAAAACTATCGAAAAGAAGGGAAAAATAAAATCATAAACAAGTCCCACACATGTTAACCAGTTTCTCTCTGACAGAACTTTATATTTTATATTTTTAATACACGTTGCACCAGAATTCTGTACAAACCGAAAACACAAATTTAGAAGCCAATGTGATAATTATTTTTAATTAAATCAGTGAGGCTTGCTTATACTCATTCAAATAGATATAGTATGTATCAGTGAGTACTGAATACGCTGAATACACTTGCTAGGAAGTTATAAAGTTCCTTAACATATTTTTGTTATATAAAAGAGTACACATTTGCCTAAACAAGTTATAGACAAATTTTCCATCCAGTAATTTTTATTTCTTCTCACTGCTTTGTTTACTACCGGTTGTAATGACTTCTATAAAACTGTGTTACGATTGTAGGTTATGTTAATTTTACAAAACGACGTGTGTTAAGAGCATGGTTGTAACAGGAGAATACGTTTTACTCGAAACTGTTTAATTAGAACTTTATTTTTTACGAATACAAGAATGGGGGAGATGAAAATTGGTGGTCTCAAAGGGGAAGAGAAATACAATAAAGTAATTAAACACATTCAGGTATAAAAATGATTCTATATCTGCAGTACATTTTAATAATTTTATTATGAATCATCTAAATTAGACTACCAAATTTTTGTAGGATAAATGGAAACTTGTACCTGCTTTTCTGAAAGGAAAGGGATTGGTTAAACAACATATTGATTCTTTTAATTACTTTATAAATGTAGAAATAAAGAAGATAGTAAAAGCAAATGAAAAAGTGCTCAGCGATGCTGATCCCTTGTTTTATGTTAAGTAAGTAGAATTACTTTGTATATGAATATATTTTGGTTAATTGTATCACAAAATATTTTGCAGATACTTAAATGTTCATGTTGGATCGCCTGATGTTGAAGAAGGCTTTAATGTAACACGTCCTACTACGCCTCATGAATGTCGTTTAAGGGATCTAAACTATTATGCACCTATCACAGTTGATATTGAATATATAAGAGGTCATCAGCCTATAATAAGAAATAATTTATTGATTGGAAGGTATAAACTTTGATAACTGTTATGAAAATATAAACTGAGTTTGTTATTGTATTTTTTTAGAATGCCTATTATGTTGAGAAGTTCAAATTGTGCATTAAATGGTAAATCACATTTTGAATTGGCAAAGATGAATGAATGTCCACATGATCCTGGTGGTTATTTTATAATAAATGGGCAGGAAAAAGTAATTTTGATACAAGAACAAATGCTTAGAAACAGGATTATTTTAGAAGAGGATAGTAAAGGATGTATCGTAGCATCTTGTAACAGTTCAACTCATGAACGAAAAACGAAAACTAACATAGTAGGCAAAGGAGGAAAATATTATATGAGACATAATATTTTTCAAGATGTAAGTACACCTCTTAATAAGAAATAAAGTTTCTGCGATGGACTTGAAATCTATTCTTAAGTTGCTAGGACATACCTGTTACAATAATATTTAAAGCAATGGGAATTGTGAGTGATCAAGAAATTATGCAACTGATTGGTACAGAGGAGGAATTTATGAAAAAGTTCGCACCTAGCTTAGAAGAATGTCATGTTCTAAATGTATTTGCCCAGAATCAAGCATTAAGGTAATTCACGGATACACAAGAAGTTATTTACATTCTGAATGTTGATTTCATGTTATATTTCAGATTTCTTAGTAGTAAAAGGAAGCAAAAAAGATTCTCGGTAATCAAATCTAGCATCACAGATGAAATGAAGGATATTTTGGCAACTAATGTTCTGTCTCACGTACCTGTGAGTAATTTTGAAACTGCAATTGTAAAAGAGGATCGAAAGATCATCGTTATGTTATTTGTTATAGGTCGTTGACTTTAATTTTAAAATGAAAGCAACTTATATCGCTTTAATGATTCGTAAAGTTATGAAAGCACAGACTGATGGGAGACTTGTAGATGACAGAGATTACTATGGAAACAAACGATTGGAACTCGCTGGCTCGTTACTGTCTCTGATGTTCGAAGATTTATTTAAGAGATTTAATTGGGAGTTAAAGCAAATTGCTGACAAGAACATACCGAAAATCAAAGCAGCACAATTTGATATTGTAAAACATATGAGACAGGATCAAATTACCAATGGATTAGCATTTGCTATATCATCTGTGAGTAACTATACTACTCAAGAACTAATTTCTGACTTTATTTTTAAAAAATCATTCTCTATGATACTCTGTTGCCGACGTAATCATGTTCCAAATTTGGACAAATTTTTATACAAATTTCGTGATATCATAATTTTTTTGGGTAGTGTGTATTAGAAGAAAAATATTCATAGATCAAGTGGTAAACCGATATTTTTATTAAACAGGGTAATTGGACGATTAAACGTTTCAAAATGGAACGTCATGGAGTCACTCAAGTTCTCTCTAGACTTTCATATATTTCGGCACTTGGTATGATGACACGAGTTAATTCGCAGTTTGAAAAAACTAGAAAAGTGTCTGGGCCTCGTTCTTTGCAACCATCGCAATGGGGCATGTTGTGTCCTAGCGATACTCCCGAAGGAGAAGTTAGTATTGTTTTTTAAATACACAGTTTTATTAAAAGTTATTAATTACGATATTGCAAAGACTTTACATACAAATATTTATAGGGTTGCGGTTTAGTAAAAAATTTAGCTCTTATGACACACATCACTACAGAAATCGAGGAAGAGCCAATCATTAGATTAGCCTTTAATTTAGGAGTCGAGAATGTTAATATACTTGGCGGCGAAGAAATTAACAATAGACACGTTTACATGGTATTTCTGAATGGTAATATTTTGGGTGTAGTAAAGAACTATCAGAGATTGGTAAATGTCTTCAGGCTGTTGCGAAGGAAAGGTCTCATAAATGGTTTTGTTTCTATATATACTCAACATCAACACAGGTAGTTATCTATTTAACACTTGAAAAAATACATTATTTTACGATTATCTATTTGCTTGCAGATGCATTCAGATTAGTTCTGATGGAGGCCGACTATGTAGGCCGTACATTATTGTGCATAAGAGTCATCCTCTTATACAAGAAGGACATATTAAGTTACTTGAACAAGGAGTTCGAAGTTTCGAAGACTTTTTACATGAAGGTCAGCATATATTAAAAGAATAGAATGTAATTTAATCTAATTACATATTTATGTATGTAACTATTATATCGTTAGGTTTAATCGAATATTTGGATGTAAATGAAGAGAATGATAGTTCCATCGCGTTCAATGAATCATACATCAACGAAAAGACAACACATTTGGAAATCGAACCATTTACATTACTCGGAGTTTGCGCTGGTTTAGTACCTTATCCGCATCATAATCAGAGTCCAAGGAATACTTATCAGTGTGCTATGGGGAAGCAAGCGATGGGAACTATTGGTTATAATCAACGCAATCGTATCGATACATTGATGTACAATTTGGTATATCCTCAAGCACCTATGGTGAAATCCAGAACGATAGAGCTGATCAATTTTGATAAATTACCGGCTGGACAGAACGCAATTATCGCTGTTATGTCTTACAGCGGTTACGATATCGAAGATGCGATTATCTTGAACAAAGCTTCAGTTGATAGGGGATTTGGGAGGTGTTTGGTATACCGGAATGCGAAGTGCACGTTAAAAAGATACGCGAATCAGACTTACGACCGAATAATGGGTCCATTAATTGATTCTAATACAAAGAAAGCCGTTTGGAAACACGACGTGATCGATAGCGACGGAATCGCTGCACCTGGAGAAATGGTGGAAAATAGGAAGGTTTGCTTTTAGATACAATAATTATTAATAAACAACGGATCTTTATGCAAGAGAAACCATCTGTAATGCCACTGTAGAAAATGAAGCGTAAACAGAAATTAATTTGTATTTTAAAAATCGTAATATGTTTTCACTTTTGATATTTTATGTGTCCTTAAACATTGAATAATTTCTTTATATTTTCTGTACATACCATTCTTTTAAAAATGCGTAAAATCGGCAGTCTAGTTATTAGCAGAGTAGTTATATTTGTGTAAATAATTAATGATTTTATAGGTGATGGTGAATAAATCATCACCAGCTGCAAATATAGGTCCGGTAAATGCTGGTAATGTTCAAACTCAAACTGAATACAAGGATGTGCCAGTCGTTTTCAAGGGTCCTGTTCCTGCTTATGTCGAAAAAGTTATGATCTCTAGCAATGCGGAAGACGCATTCTTGATCAAATTATTATTAAGACAGACACGAAGACCTGAGATAGGTGATAAATTTAGTAGTCGACACGGACAAAAAGGTGTTATTGGTACGTACTTATTTTTACTGTCGAATATACGAATACATTTTACTACTATTTACTTTCTCATGCAGGGTTAATTGTGGAACAAGAAGACATGCCGTTTAATGATTACGGTATCTGTCCCGACATGATCATGAATCCACACGGTTTTCCTTCCCGTATGACTGTTGGCAAATTGATAGAACTACTTGCTGGAAAAGCTGGCGTTATAGAAGGAGAATTCCACTATGGCACAGGTACGAGCTTGTAATAGATTATTTTTAAAGGCTTGAAATACTAAATCGTAATAATTTTATTTAGCATTCGGGGGTTCAAAAGTCGAGGATGTCTGTGAAGAGTTGATAAAGAATGGATATAATTACTTAGGCAAAGATTTCTTTTACTCTGGTATTACAGGAGAACCGTTGCAAGCTTACATTTACTCGGGACCGGTATGTCATTAAACTTCTCATCCGCATTTAGACATTATATAAATATTACAATAGGAGTTTTACACTGCAGGTATATTATCAAAAATTGAAACATATGGTGCAAGATAAAATGCACGCACGTGCTCGAGGTCCGAGAGCGGTGTTAACTCGTCAACCAACGGAAGGTCGTGCCAAAGAGGGTGGTTTGCGGCTGGGTGAAATGGAACGAGACTGTTTAATCGGATATGGCGCTAGCATGATGCTGATAGAGAGGCTCATGATATCCAGTGACGCGTTCGATGTTGATGTATGCAACAAATGTGGTTTAATGGCATACAGCAGTTGGTGTCACAGTTGTCGCTCCAGTTCGTGTGTTTCTACAATTTCCATGCCTTATGCCTGTAAATTGCTTTTCCAAGAACTTCAGTCTATGAACATCGTACCTCGCTTAACATTAAAAAATTATTGTGAATAATTTGATACGATTGACCGTGAAACTGCAGTTCATCGAGATTCACAGTTTACATGTAAATATATTTATACTTTTTAAGTTGTGTCGTTTATTTTATTGATGAAAGTGTAGACAAGTCGTAGAAAGAGAGAGGTATTAATGATTGTCATTTAGTATTCAAGGCGACTTTACTATAAATAACTTGCGCTCATAGCGCTCGTGATCTGCCGCGGTCCAAACATTGGAATGGCTGCTAGAAGACATTTGTGTCATTAAAATAGTGGCCGAATACAGTTTTCTTACATTTTAAATAATAAACTAAGAAGAAAATGAGTTTTAGTCACTATAATTTAAGCAGTTAGGGATTCCCATCGTCGCAGAGCTTCCACTCTCTGACGAATGTCGATGGTGACCTTCTCGATGCTGTCTAGTTTATCCATTTGATTGGTTTCAATACTCGTAGTGGAGCCAACAACGCTTTAATCACGACTTGCTTTTTCTCCTCATCTTCCGTCACTTGCCGCCAAGCGCAACTTGTGGAAGCGACAAATGGAAAGGTACATTGCCGGAAGAAGTATAACAATAATAAAATAATANATTAAAATGTATTAAATACAGTAACGTATAGTCAGCTATCAATACCATACACGCATGCATATTTTTTTAACAACTCGAACGCTTCATGAAACAAGAGATTCAGCGAGTAAACGAATTTCTGGATCCTCGATGTAGTTCTTATTCTGTATTAAGCGTAATTCGATTCTTTTTGATGGTTGAGTATTTTTATCTTGGCACGCTAGTAGAATATATAAAATCAATATCTTTCGTTTTATTTATGGTTAAAAGCAAACAATTTCTTACTTACTTTGGGAATATTCATATGTCTTGAGTAGAACAGTGTATAAAGAGTTCACAGTCTTTTCAATGGCGACTTTCAAACTATCGTTCAAATACGTGTGAGCTAAAAACAAAGCAGCAAACAGATCTCCAGTGCCTGTAAAACTAGTTGGTATTCTCGGAATGTCAATCTTCATTAACTTCTTATCTGGAATTGAAACAGGTTTTAATACATAAGATATTTCACGTACTTTAAATAATATTTTGCATTGCGTTTATTTACCTTTATTTGTGCTAATTACTGTTGTCAATTTATCACCAATTTCTGTAGATGTGATGGCCACCATTTGAGGACCAATCTTATGAAGTAGTTTTACAGCATTTTGTAAATCAGACATTTGACTAATTTTTACATTAGTCAATAATCTAGAGTAGTTAGAAATATATTATAGTTCATTTTCTATGAGGCTTATCACATAGAAGGTGTAACTTACTCTAATTCAAATTGATTTGGCAAGACAATATCTGCTAGTGGGACAATGTCTTTCTTATAAATTTCTTTTAATGCTTCAGGAACATATAATTTTCCATTATCTCCCATAACTGGATCACATACTAAAATGATAAAAGTTCATTATTAATATGAAATTACTGTTTTGAGTAATACCTCTCTCTTATTAATTAAGATATTATTTACCATATATAAGATCAGGATTTTTACGTTTCAAAATATGAACCACCTCCGCCACCTTTTTGAGAAATGAAGCAGAGCCAACGTATCCAGTGAGCAAATGTGTATAATTGTCCAAATCATTTTGGACTAAACCATCTATCAAGTCATCTGAACAATAATTATAAATATAACAGGTTTTTAATAACTTTTATTATAAGCTGTTCTATATTTAATTTCTTCCGTGAAATATTATCTTGCCTAAATCTTTATCATTTAGTACTTGGCCTTTGAAAACCTTGTAACCAGTATGATTGGAAAGTTGGACTGAATTAATTGCATCTACTTCAAAGCCCAGCAGCTAAATAAAAGGATTATTATTATTAATATCCTATTATATATTTATTTCCTTATGGTGATTACAAAAGTGAATTTGTGATGAAAAATGGTTGTTGAATTTAAAACAATGAGCTGGCTTGCTAGAGGAATATACAAGGTGTTCCGTTTAAATGAAAACAATAGAATATTTCATACGGAGTTAAGCTGCCACCTTCAAACTCAAACTTGCCTTCGGGTCGCTATCGCATTCCTCGATCGGCTAATAAAAGAATAGACCGAGCGACCAATGTTATTTAATCAAGATAACATGCTTTGGCAGAAGTTCTGTCTTTCTCATACATGTCCATAGTGGGGGGACCACGTTTACTATTCCTGCCGTCACGAGAGTCCATACCAGTTTTGCGCAGCTTGGAGATACTGAATTAATCAAATACATAGATCCGAATAATGGCGAAAATATGGAAAGCATTCCAGAGAAAGAGAGACATGCGGACAACGACTGAAAACTGGTGTTTGCGCACTATGGACTCTCGTGATGGCAGGTATATTTTATACCAGAAGAAGAGAAGTTAAATGGCTATCACGTTTCTCTTACTTTCCCACTCTCCACTGATAGAGAGAGAAAGTAGCACTTTCTCTTTCGCACGTTGCGTCAAATTTCCTATGTCTGTCTATTCTTTTATGTCTATGTTCTACATACAACAACATAAATGTAAATAAATTATTTGGCTTCATAACGTGACGTTCACCTGTAAAGGAAACGTTGCGCTTTTATTACCAACGTAACCAGACACTACATGACTTTGTATCGAAAGGATTCGCGGTGTCCTTTTGGAGCACATATTAATTAGTTGACTCACAAACTTTTTTCAATGTTATGTTAAAACAGGTATAGCTCTAAAGAACTACAGTACGTGGCACTTTTTATTGTGTATCAGTACTAATGCTTATCAATTGATAAGTGTATCAGTATTGATAAGGCTAGGGAAAACTACGCACCCTCTACGCAACAATAAGACAGTGTCAGACTAGTGATGGGCACTATCGACTAATTTAAAGTATCGACTACCTAGGGAATAAT